TCAGTCCTGCAGCAACTTCTCCTTTTTCCCTGTTTGTTCATATTCAAAACCTCCATGCTAATGTACACAGATTTATTTATCATGGGCGGGTGGTTTGCATTCACTTCTTCATGAGACACAGTCAGAAAGTAAGTAACATGCTTTGATGAAAAGCTGGACATCTTTTATTAATTACTGTAAAAGTTCTAAGTGACTATTATTTTATAGAGCAGTGAAGACTTTTAATTGCTCTTTATATCTGTGCCATTAGAATCACCTATCTCATCAGAAGATGTTAGTGGCCAATAGAATAAACAGCAAATGAAAATCCAGACAGTGGGATGTCAGTAAGAACCCTATGGTACCCCTTCCCCAGCTTCAGAGTAGAGACTTCTGGGGGGAAGGGAGGGCAGCAGAAACCATCAGAAAAAAAAAAAAAAAGGGAATCTGGGAAGGTTTATTTATAAAGCACTATTTGGTGAAGTATTTGACACAGCATTAGTTTTTATATTACCTTTAGTTATTTAACCTATTATTAAAAAAGCAAAATTTACACATATATTATTGACTTTAAATATCTAGCACACAAATGAACTAGAATGAGTTTTATTTTAAGAAATCAATGTTCATGGAAAAGCTAAACACAAAATAACAGCAACAGGCAAACAAAATCCATGTCTAATGATCATAATGTGGTCTCTGGTTTCAATATTTTTCAAACTAGTTTTAACCATGTCCTGTTTGAATTAATACAGAAATCCTTCTCATCTTCAAAAAAGAATGAAATTATGCCGTTTGCAGCAACATGGATAGACGTAGAGGTGATCATACTAAGTGAAGTAAGTCAGAGAAAGACAAACATCATGTAAAATCACATACATGTGGAATTTAAAAAAATGATACAAATGAACTTACATACAAAGCAAAAATAGACTCACAGACATAGAAAACAAGCTTACAGCTACTAAAAGGGAAAGCAGGGAAGAATAAACCAGGAGCTTGGGATTAACATACACACACCCTAATATATATAAAATAGATAAAGAACAAGGACATACTGTATCACACAGAGAACTGTACTCAGTATTTTGTAATAAACCTATAAGGGAAAAACCTGAAAATACATATATATATATATAAACTGAATCACTTTGTTGTACACATTAAGCTAATACAACATTGTAAATCAACTATTCTCTGATAAAGTTAAAATAAAAATAAATTTTTTAAAAGAAATTAGGGAAAGAGAAAAGGATCAATATAGTTATACTATAGTTAAAAGAATAATCAAGAGAGAAAATTAAAGTCTTAAAAAATTCGTTTGCTGTGTAAAAGATTCAGGCTTGTGTCTGTGGATTAATTTGACTTTGCAAATGAAGATTATTAACCACAATCCAAGTCGAGCAAAATATGCAAGGAGTTTCTTAGAAGGAAAAAAAGTTAAAGATGAGTCTTCCCTTAATTGGCTTTTTTTTTTCATTTATTTTTATTAGTTGGAGGCTAATTACTTTACAATATTGTAGTGGTTTCTGTCATACATTGACATGAATCAGCCATGGATTTACATGTATTCCCCATCCTGATCCCCCCTCCCACCTCCCTCTCTACCCGATCCCTCTGGGTCTTCCCAGTGCACCAGGCCCGAGCACTTGTCTCATGCATCCCACCTGGACTGGTGATCTGTTTCACCCTAGATAATATACATGGTTTGATGCTGTTCTCTCGAAATATCCCACCCTCGCCTTCTCCCACAGAGTCCAAAAGTCTGTTCTGTACATCTGTGTCTCTTTTTCTGTTTTGCATATAGGGCTATCATTACCATCTTTCTAAATTCCATATATATGTGTTAGTATACTGTAAAGGTCTTTATCTTTCTGGCTTACTTCACTCTGTATAATGGGCTCCAGTTTCAGCCATCTCATTAGAACTGATTCAAGTAAATTCTTTTTAATGGCTGAGTAATATTCCATGGTTAATTGGCTTTTAAAGCACATTGTTTTTTTAAACCCAGCCCCAGTTGTACATGTGCACAATGGAGTAAGTGGCAAATATTGACATCTCTAAGGAAACTGACTATTTTTTTAAAGACTCTAAGATGCACAAATGAAAACTATGTTAAATTTACTCTTCAAAAATAATATAGACTCTGATGTTAAGTACAACAGTAATAACAAGCAGATGAACTGCAAGGTCCTTATAAAGCCAAACCAAATAATTCAGTCTGGGGTCTTCTAATTAGATTGCCACCAGTGTTGAACAAATGTAAAACACATAATTTCTAGGAAATGGCAATGGAAAAATATGTACCACCAGTCTCAGCCTTATGCTGGTGTAACTTTCATTCAGAAGCAAGATTTGTTTACCAAAAAGACAGCAACTCATTTTTTTTCTCTATTCAAATAGCAATTTCTTATTGTCCTGCTTATGAATTCTAAAAAATAACAATGTAGTTATTACTGTTAGAGTTCAGGACAGGTGTTCATGATTAGCTCTAGGATTAAACAGTTTGTACCAGCTCTGGGGTGTATTAATACCTGTAACCAAATATATTTGAAAAGCAAATACCCTGGCACACTGGTTGCTATAGAAATAACATAAATAAGAATAAAAGATAAGGATCTCTTTCAAAACACTTTGGTTAGACTCTTTCTTGAAAATGCCTTACTTCTACTTCAAACAATGTTCAGAAAGAGCAGAAAAATAACCGAACATTTGTAAAACTTTAAAGGTCAACTTTTATAACACTTGGCAGAGATTCAAATCAGTTCACAGACTTTATAAATTCTGAAATGTGGCTTGAAATTCTGACTGCTATCTGAAATATCTTTGAAGAATCGCTCAGAATAGAATTTGTTAGTGGATAATATGTTATTTTGAAATCAAGGAAAAATACTTTGAGGTGTGTTAAACCTGAAATGTATTTGACTTTTGGAAATTTACTTGGAACGCAAGTGCATCAATAAAACAGAACAGGAAAAAAAATCCAAAATAGCAGTCAAATCAGCCAGAGACATACTCCAGCAATTACAAAAACATTTGCATGAGCAACTTTGCATTGGCTTATGTGCACAAAGTTATCCTTTCAGCTACATGGCTAGTAACATCATAAGCAGGAAAATAAATATGAAATCCAATAGGCAAAATGAGCCTCCATCATTTTTTATGTGGCTCAAGAGAATTCTAGACAATGACTACTTTGGCAGTGACATTTTGAAATGGTCCTCCCTTTAAGGAAGTATGGAAACTAAATAATGACACCTAAATGAATTTAAACAACTTAAACATGAAACAATGTACCTGATCTTTGGAGACACTGTGAAAAATTTTTTTAACATTTGGTAAAATTGCTGCTGATTTGCACAGATAACAAAATACAGCCTATGTTATGCTCTCCCCGATTTGTTAAAATGCTATAGATACTCAATACATTTGCAAACTTGCTCCCACTACACAGAAGTCCTACAGAAGCTGCTTAAAATGAGCTTGTGAAATGAGTGATGCTGTCAGAAGTCAACACAGACCCTTTGGCTTCTGAAACCTCTATTAAACCCAGAAACAACCTTTAGAATGACAATCTCAGCATGACTCCAATAGCATAAATACTTAAAGGTAGAATCTAACTCAATCCACCCCCTCCTGTGCATTTTTTCAATGAAAGATGCTGTTTAGGTTCATTACTCTTACAGGACCTAAGCCTCTATCCAGGAGGTAGAAATATTTTCAAGATTTTCAAATTACTCATCAAGATAAAGAAGTGAAATGTGATGGAGGAAGTGGTTCAGTGCTGACGATGCTTTGGACTGGGCTATTCAGCCCCACACCTCGTGGCTCTTAGCATTTAAAGCTCTTCAGTGACGAAGAATAGGACATGGAACTCTCGGGGTAGTTTTCACAGTAATACGCCATCTTCATCCCAGTTCTCCTATACTAGCCCACATCTTTTTGGTTGAATATTCTGTCCCTATGGAAGCTGACAAAATTGAAATAATTTGGGTCAGTTACCAAATTATCTATTTGTCACTTTCATTTGATCAAGAAATTGGATATCTAAAAATCTTAGTCTGACTAACAATCTGGATCTATCCAAAAGTACTTTTGCTAATGATTTTTTTTTGCCATTTTAAGAGCCTCATGTTATCTGGATAAGCTAATCTCCCAAAGAAATCAAGTTTTTATAACAACTTTTACGCTTGAATTTTCCTTAGCTAAAAAAAAACCAAAAACAAAATAGTTCTTTATGATTTTGAATCAAAATTTCACATAAGCTAATTTCAATCTGAAAATGAAAACTGTCTTGGTTTTCATTTGAGAAGCTTACCACAACTTCCCATATTTGATTTATGGTCTCAGTCTGTGATGACACATACCCTCAATGGGGATGACTAGGTAACTATAAAACTGAAAAGTGTGAGAGAAACCTCTCCGTCAGTTCACAAAATGACTTAAGGAAATTTAAAATGCATTAGTCCAGGGAGAGAAATTTTTAATTTTCAGTGCAGAGTGTTTAATTGTGGTTATATCAGTTTATAAAGTTTATAGATAGAGAAATTATATAAAACATGACTTTCTAAAAATATGTGATTTTAAATCATTTTTCTTAGTCCCATTAGGTTGTACCACACTTCAAAATCTCAATGAAATTTCTTAAAAATCCTCAAACCACCATAGCATTTTTCTTTAAAATAAAGGCCTACTCTGCTGACTTGAATTCTGTAGATACTTCTTTACTCTTTCATTTTAAAGGGGTTATTTTCCTTAAAGATAACAAAGGAAAAAGCAAGCCAGTGTTTCTTGTTTCTCCTAAAACAGCTGAAAACTTAGCCATTTTCCTAAGAAGCCACTTCAGTACAAAACAAAAGAAAACTTTGGACCAGACAGATGGCTTTGTTGACTTAGGTAAAGTCCACAACTGAAGAGCGTGCCAGGCTCGTAAACTCTCACTGTGCTCTTAGATCATACTGTGCAGCGCCCGCCAGGTCTGCAGAGTGAATGATCACCTCGGGTGTGTGTCCCCCTGCAAGATGCCTGATCCACTGCTCCCAGGCCCCTCACAGGAAGAACCCCTCAGGGCATCTCAGCCTGAGACAGAGGTCACCAAACCTCAGCGTATCCCACCTTTGTTCAAGGAAACCTACCTCATCGGGCTACTTTATCTTCTCTCTTCCTCTCTTACTGTTTCTTTTCCAAGAGCCTGGCATTGTTTTCAAGGAGGGGGTTTCTGCTGCCGAAAGGAGGGGTGTTTAATTACTTCTGAGGGCACCTGGCCACCAGCTGTGGGAGAGGATTTCTAAAGCCCGGACTCTTTCACTGCATTCAAGCAACTGAACAGAAGCTGAATTCTGCCCACCTGGGGCTGCCCGTTCGCTCAGGATTCCCAGGAGGTAGATCCAGGCAGTGTCCTCTCATTCCCCAGGCATCTGGATTCCCATGTTCCTGTTTCAGAATAAATATCAACTGAAAGGTTAAATTTTCCCCCCAACCCAATATTCATTTCTTTATTTAGTTAATATGCATGTGTGCTCAGTCATTCAGTCATATCCAACTCTGTAGCATCATGGACAGTAGCTTGCCAGGGTCCTCTGTCCATGGGATTGTCCAGGCAGGAAAACTATAGCGGGTATCAATTCCCTTCTCCAGGAGATCTTCTCAGCCCAGGGATCAAACCCAGGTCTCCTGCATTGGCAGGTAGGTCCTCTACCATTTAAGCCACCTAGGAAGCCCTATTTAATTGTTATTAGTAATGTAAGGAGCAGCCTTTCTAAATAGGCCTCTGTGAGTGATGACAATGCTGGGTGTGGAGCCTGGGTCATAGGCCTCAGTCACAGGGTCTGGTCACATAGGTCATAGGTCACAAGACCCATCCTGTCCTGTCTTCCCTGGGCAACGGCATTTCTAGGAGAAGCTGCAAACAGGCAGCTCATTAGCCTTGGGGCCCGAGTGACCCAGAGCGATCCTGGGAAACCACCTAGTCTGTGCCACCTGTTTGCACATTGAACCTCCTGCAGACAGTAGCACTGAGATCTTAGCTAGAATCCACATGTAACGCATCTGAGATGCGACCTCCGATTTCAGCTCCTCTTCAGTGTGGCCGCTGCCACCAGCCCAGGCCCAGCACTCAGGCTCTTACCCGGGCTAACGCGGAAGACTTGAACCTGCCCTGCTTCCAACCGTGCCTCTGCGGGCTCCCTGAACCCCCGCCCTGCGCACCTGCCTGGGATCCACCTGAAGACGTCACCTGCCATCCTGCTCAGGACCCTCCCATGGACCCACGGCCCCTGTGGTCCAGCCCCAGGCCTTTGCAGAGGCTGGGGGCCTGTCTCACCCCAGGCCCCTCTCTGACCACTGCCCTCCTTCCTGCAGTTGGGTCATTGCCCTCCCCCATTCCTGGTGGTGCTGCTGGCAGGCCCTCTCTACCTGGAAGGCTCTCCCCACCTAGAAGGCTCTCCTCAGGCCCCCTGGAGGCCTCTCCTCCTCTGCTCACCCATCACCTGTCCACTGGCCTCCCACCAACCCTGGGAGGAATAGACCTGTCTTCCTCCATCTGCAGACAGACACCTGCATCTTCACCTCCTGTTTCCTCAATGCAGTGGATGCTTCAAGGGTGTCTCAGGTCCTGAAATGGTCCTTGGGCAGGATAGGCCCTCAGTACACACTGTGGACAAATGAATGCACAGTTCTGATAGCCAAGCAACTCCAGCGAGTTGGTACCCATTGAGGATGCAGGATGTTCAAATAATGAGAGGTCCTGACCTCCCTGTAGAGCCGTGGTACTCAGAGCTGTGGGGCCTGATTAAGTGGCCTGTGGTCCACGTGTCTGGGAAACACTGGCTTAAATGAAGTTAAGCATAGTGATTTCAGTGGTCTGATACGTATGACAGGAGAACAACACCTGCAGCAGGCTCCGAGCTGGCAGTACCATTAGTAACAACCATCCCACACCCCTCATGAGTAAGCCTAATGTTCTTAATGAATGAGCTGACCTGGGAATGTGGTGGGAGTGGACATGCCGCCAGGCTGCCCCTGGGCATGGATGGGGGGCACTGGACAACATTCCACCTGAGCTGCTCCCCACCCTCAGATAAATGAGTAAAGCCGTGATGTGTATATATAATGCAGTATAACTCAGTCACGAAAAAGAAGGTAATCCTACCATTTGCACCAACATGGATGGACCTAGAGGGAAAATGAAAAATGTCAGAGAAAGATAATACCATATGATTTCACTTACATGATGAATCTTTAAAAAAAAAAAAAAACTGGATTCATAGATACAGAGAACAGATTGGTGGTTGCCAGGGGCAAGGATGGATCCTGGGCAAAATGGGTGAAGATGGTCAAAAGGCACAAAGTTCAAATTACAAGATAAATAAGCCATGGGAATGGAATGCAGAGGGCAGGCACTATGGTTAACAATAATTTATTGTGTATTTGAAAGTTTCTAAGATCTTAAACATTGTTACAAGGAAAAAAAACTTTATAAGGTGATAGACGTTAACTAAACTTATTGTGTTAATCACTTCAAAATCTACACATATATCAAGTCATTATGTTCTACATCTTGAATTAACACAGTGCTTTATGTTAATTCCCTGATAGCTCAGTTGGTAAAGAATCCGCCTACAATGCAGGAGACCCAGTTCGATTCCTGGGTCAGAAGATCCGCTGGAGAAGGGACAGGCTACCCACTCCAGTATTCTTGGCTTCCCTGGTGGCTCAGCTGGTAAAGAATCAGCCGCCAATGTAAGAGACCTGGGTTCGATCCCTGGGTTGGAAAGATCCCCTGGAGAAGGGAAAGGTTACCCACTCCAGTATTCTGGCCTGGAGAATTCCATGGACTGTGCAGTCCATGGGGTTGCAAAGAGTCAGACCTGACTGAGCAACTTGCGCACTTTCTCACTTATGTTCATTATAACTCAGGAAACCTGGGGAAGCCAAATGAGACCATTTAATGAGGGCAGTAGAAGCTTGCCATAAACAAGCCTGATATTCTTAATGAATGCTCATGTACACATCCTCAGCTCTCCTTCCTATGTGTTTCTTATTTCTTTTCCTCTTGTCTTAGGTGAGTGAGAATGTATTTCATCATCCCTGCTCTCTGCCCTTTTGTATTCAGGATATTTTCAATGATCAGGGAATTTTTTTTTTTTTTTAAGAATGTCAAGTCCAAAAAAAAAAAAAAATGTCAAGTCCCATCTTAGGAAATGTGGCAAAAATAAAACCCATTGAAAGCAATATGTAGAGGAATGGTCTACTCAGATGCCTGGATTTTAATAATTGAAATAAATCAATAGTATACCTGGGCTTCTGTGGTGGCTCCACAGGTAAAGATTCTGCCTGCAACACAGGAGAATCCCTGGGTCAGGAAGATCCCCTGGAGGAGGGCATGGCAACCCGCTCTAGTATTCTTGCCTGGAGAATCCCATGGAATGAGGAACCTGGCGGGTCGCAGTCCATAGAGTGACACAGAGTTGGACATGACTGAAGCGACTAAGCAGCAAATAGTACAGCACCCGGATGCTGGCAGGTCACCATCAATTTCCCAGGGCATGCCAGGGGCATCTTCTATTGTAAACAGCTCATTGCCACACAAGCTTGTCCTGAATGTAGGGAGCCTGCAAACAGCCTCTCATCAAGGAGCCCAACTTGATATGCAAAAGTCTAAGGAAAGGGATAGGAAGACGACACAGCATAAACAAAGGGCATGGAGAGTGAAGAAGCAATTCTGAAGGCAAAACAAAGGTCAACTACAGCTTGCTGAAGGGTCAGGAGGTCAAAGGGCAAGCAGCGCCCAAGTAGCCAAAGACCAAAGGCCAGTGCTCAGTGTGCATCCACCAGCCCCAAGGGCCGGCCTGCCCACTGTCCCGCTCTGCTCCATGTTCCCTGGTTACTCCCCACCAGTCCTGCCCCTGCCCAAAGTTCTGCCCTTAGAAATAAATGCTGTTCAGTCTCTCAATCATGTCCAACTCTTTGCATCCCCATGGACTGAAGCATGCCAGGCTTCCCTGTCCTTCACTATATCCCAGAGTTTGCTCAAACTCATGTCCATTGAGTTGGTGATGCCATCCAACCATCTCATCTTCTATCACCCCCTTCTCCTCCTGCCCTTGATCTTTCCCAGCGTCAGAGTCTTTTCTAATGAGTCGGCTCTTTGCATCAGGTGGCCAAAATATTAGAGCTTCAGCATCAGTCCTTCCAATGAATATTCAGGGGTTTTTTCCTTTAGAATTGACTGGTTTGATCTCCTTACTGTCTAAAGAACTCTCAAGAGTCTTCTCCAGCACCACAGTTCAAAGCATAGACATAAATGAGCCCCTAATAAACAGTACTTGGAGAAGGAAATGGCAACCCACTCCAGTATTCTTGCCTGGAAAATCCCATGGACTGAGGATCCTGGTAGGGTACAGTCCATGGGGTCGCAAAGAATTGGACCCGACTGAGTGACTTCACTTCACTTCATTTCACTTCACTAATAAACATTACTAAGTCCTCTCTGTTTCTTGTCATAGAGTAAATAATATTGAAACAGTCTGAGATCTGCATTTTTTGTGTGTTGAAACTGGTTGTGAATAAGAATTTAAAATATATAAAACTAGTGGACTGGCCAAAAATTTCATTTGGGTTGTTCTGTAAGATGTTAAAGAAAAACCCTCATGAATTTTTTTGGCTAAATCAACATTTGATGTACCTTCCGAAGGTACATCAAGTATCTGCTCATAGGAAGCTAAAGTGGTCTGAACCCGTGAGTCACATGTCATTGGTGAGGCCCGAGAGGCTGGAAACCCACCAGGCACATACTAGGTGTTCAATAAATATTTGTTCAATGAATGTTCTCTTGATTACGTTATATGGAAAACATCTAAAACTGTTACAAAAGGGATTAGCAAGTCTGGTGGCCTGTATTTGGTTCCAACGTTGCTGAGATTGTAGCACATGGCAAGCTACTCCACACAGCTGAGGAAAAGCATTTGCTTCCTTCAGGAGACGTATGTTCAATCCTTGGGTGGGGAAGATTCCTTGGAGGAGAAAACGGCAACCCATTCTTGCCTGGAGAATCCCATGGACCGAGGAGCCTGGTGGGCTACAGCCCATGGGGTCACAAAGAGTCT